TAAGGCAATTACCTGCATTATTAATGGTACCATGATGAAAAGCCTAAGCGACGGTCACAATCTAAGTCCATTTAAAATCTATTTCTTCCAAAAAAGCTGTGAATTCCAGGAGTTTGAGATAATAGCTGAATAAACCACAGTACAAATAGGGTTTGCCCATCCGAACCCTCGGAATCCTGTACGCCTAAAGTGATGAGATAACAACCAAAAAGTTGCATTATTTTTTTGCTAAAAAAAAGAACGAAATACCCGTAACAAAAATTGAGAAAGAAAAAAAAAACAAATTGGTATTCAAAAAACGGTAAGCAAGAATGAGAACGAATTGAAAAAGCATATTACAAGAGGGTAATTTGGGTGCTTCTGCCTTGGCATCCCGATAAACCTCCGAAACGAGAATTCCCGGCATAGCTGTGCTCTGCATACACCTCAGAACTATTACGGTTTCCATCTCGGCAGCACTGGTAGTTCTGTACATGCCCGGATGTTTCTTAACATTTAAACTCAAAAAGGCAGTATAAACACTGAGCTAGGAATAACATTTGCATATATTTTTCTAACACCCAGTCAAAGCCATGGGAATTTCTAGGAATTGAAAATCAGAAAATGGCCCCCCTCTCTCTTTGGAACAAATCAGTACTTTTCCTTCACCTCAAAGGCAATTTACAGTTGAAACAAAGCGGTGCTAGCAAGGGGATCAGCAAAATTGCGCATTTTTGCGCTAAAGTCGATGAATATGGCATAATAACATAAGCGGGTTCGGAACGTACTCCTTGGGGAGACGGAGGAGAGGAGGGGAAGGAGAGGGAGGGGGAAGGAGGCTGAGGAAATTGAAGTCCCCTGGGAAGGGAGTGACGGCGGTTGCGGAAAAGAGTTCTGTTCAGTTTTAGCTTTAGACTCGCACTTCTGTAGCACTGATGAATGTGCCGCTGGGAGACGGCGAAAGATCCATCGCTCCCTCCCTTTCTCGCCCCTTCTAGATCCGCCTATGCATTATATGTACAAGTTGGTTTAACTTCATCGCTATGAAATTTCCAAACCTATTCCAAGGCATGAAAAAAACCAAAATTTTGGACCTAATCCAAGCAATAAATGCACTAAATCTGTACAACTAAGTTCAACATTAGTAACTGTATACCGATAACTCAAACAGACAAACTGTATAACTTAAATTTACCTAACTTAAACTTACCTATAACTTACCTAAAATGCAGAAGTTCTGCACATTTCAGTGACACCTTTATGGTACCATCATCTGCCAATTTTTGGCGCCAAGACTCAAAGGACACGCGGATGCAAAACACCTAAATTGCCAAAACAAAAGTTCAAGCGGCAATCCTTTTAGCACATTTGATATGGATTATCGTAAGTGGCAAGGAATTCAAGGGCAGCCTTGTAGCAGAAATGATACTGATCCTTGTCCTGCACCATATTCTGACGTTCGGTGCGCAACAGCTTTACGGTGGTGAACACATCAACAACATGTTCCAGTTTCATACGATCGATGATCACACTCAGCGCTATGAAAACACCGGTTCGACCGGCTCCCGCTGAACAGTGCACCGTAATTGGACCATCTACGCCAAATTGCGTCTTCGTACGATGCACCTGCAACATCGGGGAGATTTGTAAGCAGTAATGACACATGGGGAAAAGATTTTTACAAGTCAGTCACACTGCATATTGTTTGCATTATATACATCATTTGTACTAATGCTGAAAAATACATGTGTTGCAAAAGGAGCAAGGTGCTAACAGTAAGGAAGCAAAGTTGCCGGTTAAATCCTTCACTTCGGCCAATTGCCCTTTAGTTCCATGTAATATGCAAATGTTCCTGCTCCTGATTTGGGCCCCCACCTCTGTTATATATGTAATTATGTGATCAGAAATGAAGTGGTGATTGTTTTTGAGTGCAAAGCAATTCTATGGAGGTAGCTTAGAATTGCTGCCGAATTTTTCGCGATTTAATTTTCCTGTTGTGTGAGTTTCTTTTTTGTTGTTTTAAATAGAATGAAGTCGACTGTAGTTGAATAAAATGGTATGAAAGGAAAAGCCAACCCAGGCTGGAACGCACCAGGCGGGCCGGTGCGATTATGCGTTTTTGCACTTTTCGTACTGTA